TTTCGAGAAACCAGGGACTTAGTCTACGCACAATGTAATTGCGCATTCGGTGTAAAGTTATTGCGAAAATTCACCAAAAAATTGTGCGTTCATATAGGTAGTAACTTTCCAAAAACGAAACGCTTTCTCAGTAAATTCCTAAAAAATTAGTCGCTATTGTATTAATTTTTTCAAAAATTGAACATTCAAGCAGTACATTTATAGAAAATTAAACAATTGCTCAGAAATTTTCTCAAAATATAGACGCTTATACACTAGTTTTGAAAAAATCAGTGCGTTTGCTCTAATTTTTACAAGATATCAACATCCTCGTCATAATTTATCGTAAATATCAGTGGTTTGAGTATTTATACTTGGTGGAATAAAACTGATTATTTTCGACTGGCGTAAATGAACTTCTCTCATCAGCTCTTTGAAACCTTTGGATTCGGTTGTGCGAACCGAACGGTCATTTAAACGAGCTAAAAGTTGGGTTTGACAAACGAAATAGTTGAGATGATGTAAAACACCATGTTTTCCTTCAGTTTGTGGATTTGCAGTTCAATCTCCTCGGGAGTCAAAATAGTTGTATTGCGTGTTTCGCTTAATCAAACTTTTCTACCGCTGCGTTAAAGTCTCTGAGTCGGTTTAAAAGAGTTAACGTTCTCCTTCATTCTGTGGCTATGCAATTTCATCTTCATGGAAGTCAAAAATGTTGTATCACGTGTTTTCGCCGTACAACTTTTCTACCGCTGCGTTAAAGTCTCTGAGTCAGCCAAAAAAAGTTCACATTCTCCTTCATTTCGTGGATATGCACTTTTACCTACTTGTCGTGTTGAAGTCGAAATAATTGCGTATTAAGCGTTTAACCCCATCCAACTGCTCTACTCCAGTCTTCATTTCAGCCCTTGACTCGCGAATCGCGCTAAGCTCCGATAGTCGGACGCCATTTGGAAATGCGAATGGCAGCGCGCGAGACGTCATGACTATGTGGAATTGAATGACATGATGAATAAAAGACATGATAAAATCACCATATCATTGTCATTCGTTATGGCGCTCTCCACAAAAGTGGTCTATGGAACTACCATAAGTAGTTCAAGTTCAGAATAAATACCCCTTTCTAGTGATGGCTCTGTAACGAGCTGAGCCCATAATCTTGACCGCGTGAACCCTATTCAGTCACGATAATAATCGACCACAAGCTCCGCAATCCGGCGTTGAATCACAGGGTCTGTGTTCTGTTCTCGGAAGCTCGCGGTGAACATGCAGCTACAGCTATGTCTCTCTGGTCAACGAGGAAAAGATGCTGCGCAGAACTTGATCAAGTGCCCTGTTCTCACCTTAGGAGAGTTTAACAGTGTTCGAAACTCACCTTTGAGTTTTAGGAGCCATACGCCGCATCAAGCCCGATTTTTAGGCACCACTGAAGATTTTTTAGGGGCCAAATTGACTTTGTGCCTATATATTACGGCGCATTTAGTGACAAGTTAGACGCAAGGTGTTTTCGGAACAGAACTAGTGAGTAGCTGTAACTTGGGAAAGACAAAAGCGTCGCTGCGCAGTGGCAAAATTGCGCGCTCAACATGGCGCAACTGCTCGCTTTTCGCGAATTCAATCCGGTGCCCAGCGTCGAAATCTCGAATAACACCTGATAAGAAAATCCAGATTTTTAGGAGGGAATTTTTAAGGGCCACTTTGGCGCAGAGCCTTCAATTTTTAGGCGCCATGGTCGATTTTTTAGGCGCATTTGGCGCGTTGGCGCCCGTGAGTCTATGGTTCCGTTTGACAGAAAAATGGGCACCTATTTTTGTAAGAAAAAAAGAAAAAAGAAGCAAATAACAAGAAAAGAGATCAAAGAATCTCCCAATGAAGACAAACTAGTCCAATCGACAGCTTCAGAGCAGCTACTTGCTGGTTTATGTAACACTCGTATGACCACTTGGCCTAAATGTAATGGCTCATTTCCTTCATGTTCGAGTCAGTGGAGTTTTAGAGAAGAAAATGCTCGACTGTTCTCATTGTTCGAGAATCAAACAGAGTTGATTGCCGCGCACAATGATCCGCGGATTGACCCACTCAGACTCGATGCACACAGAGCGCCTCCCCGGAAGGTGTGAAAGAATGGTGTCACAATTACACTCATCGGCTACATAATTATACTAGCGCCTTTTTCGTCGAAGATGAGCCGCAAAATCTTTTGGATCATCCGAGAGAAAAAGGTCACAACTGCCCGGGTATCAAACGATTTATTGATTGGCCAGGCATCGATGACTTAATAATCGGCGGCGTTGTCAAGTTGTCGGCAAATTTTGGACATTATTGTTTATGGTTTTCGGGGTTAATTTTAGTGGCATGACTGTCAATATCATCGCGTGATAAAACATGTAATATTTAAGATTGCAGGTAATTTTTTTTTTTTTAAATTTAATCTCGTAATGTATGAGTGTACAGTTCCTTAGGGGAGTGATCTCTCTGTATGAGAGAAATAAGTCCATTTTTAATGATGGATTATTTGATAGTTTTAATGTATTAATGATTGTATCCTTCGAGTGAACTAATTCTTAGGGGTGTTTCATACCTTCCTATTGAAGTTTTTTTGATTCACCTTCTGCAAATACTCAAATTTTTCACAGCTTTACATTTTTTTCTTACTAAAATTCTTTGTAGAGTGGGTTTGATCGGCATTGAAATGAACGTATCAAATGCAAAAAACTTTGTGTTTCGTTCTTGAATAAAATTATGTGCTTTTTCGGGATTTCCCTTCCAGAATTCAAAATATTCTCCCCACGTCACCGATTTATCCCAAGCCATCAGCTTGAGCGGTGTCGGAAGAAATCGTGGCTCTCTGGAGCTCTACTCGGTGGCTTCAAAAAATGTAAGGGATTTTGTCAAACATTGTATAACACTTCCGTCATCTTTTACATTATATTTCGAGAGATTTTTTGATGAGAATCGCTCCTGAGACTGCCAACAGAGGTGTCAGTCCATGCAATGTTTTCGGAACAAGTGTCCCCACAGACGGACAAACGAACGAAATTTTTGCCCTAAAAACGACCGCAACTTGATGATTTCCACAGAAAAACGATACAATCTTTGCCAACATACCAATTCCTATTTATGCGCGCTGGAGAGGCCTTTTTAAAGTTTTTCCCAGAAAATTTTAAAATTTTTCCCAAAAAATATTCCTCATTTTCACGTCTCATAGCACGCACTGGTAAAAAAAAAAACTCTTGGTTCAAGAGTGCAGTTTCTTGTCGCCGGACTTAAGAGTCTGGACTCTTGTTTCAATGCAAAATCCGCTTGAAACAAGAGTTCAAGACTCTTAAATCCGGCGACAAGAAACTGCACTCTTAAGTCAGTGCAATGCGGCATTGGTCCAAGAGGTTTTTTTTACCAGTGGCGTTTTGAGACCTACTGAACTTAACTTTTCTCCAAATTCCAAAAATAAAGGGACACCCTAACCGCACATTTAAACACACTTAAATTGCGCGCGAAACCATCCCTAAATCGTGCCCTTGGTGGAATTCTACTCTGGTATTGCCAAAAGCACGGCAACTAGGTCTAGACGAACGAATGCTCTGAGTTTGGAAGCCGATAAGATCGGGCCCGGGCCCGGGTGGGCAGTGCGTTTGGGCGCCACGTAATCCAGTGAATTTTTACAACCAACAAAGTGGCCGTTGCGCAACTCGATCGGGCTTCCTCCTCCAGTGTTGCCACTTTTTCACCCAAATCTCCCGTTTTTTTATTTGTTTTTATTTGTACCTTGGATGTTGCGGGAAAAACATAAAAAAGAAAGTTGTTGAGGATGAAACATAGACAGAAAGAAGATTAACTTTGTTGGCAGTTGATTGTCTTCGGCGCTGACATAGTTATGACTGTATACTTACGCAAAAAGTCTAGCTAAGGCGCTCTGAGAGTTTAAAGTCTAGAAACTTCCAGCAAACACCGGAGGTCTCTCAAAACAAGCATGAAGAAAAAATGGATTACATTTTGCAATAAGGAACCGCTATCCCTGGCCCTTGTTTAAATGCACCTTTCTGCAAACGGAAAGTAATGGCATTATCTATTATTTCTAAAATGAGCCAGAAATAGTGGTTCCTTTTTGCAAAATGTGGTCCAAATATAGGTTTGTGTACTTATTTAAAATAATGCCAGAAGGTAAAGGTCTTAATTCATGGATATTGTTTTTGATACTACACCTCCGGCCTTTACGCTACTCGCGGCACGGATATTTTCCTGTACTGTCACTAATGTTTTTCTTTTTTTAAAACTAGGTATAATTGACTTGTGTTTATCCCGTCAAAAGGATCATGTTGATACCATATACTCAAATCATGATGGCACCATTTTTATAAGTGAAACGTTGTAGTATTGCCGCCAACATAATATCAACATGGTATATTAGTCTCAAGATTGTTCCATGTTGATGCCATGTTACTTACCTTGTTGGAGTTAACATATAAGGTACCCTGTTTCACTCATCAACATGACATGGTCAATTTTAGCAGGGTATAGTGACTGCTCTATAAAATTAACCCACGCACCAATGAACCAAGACGTACCTACTTCATTTGATAAAATTTTAATCCAATTGTGGACAAGTGTATGAAAAAACCGAAAAACCGAAAAACAAACGCGAAATTACAAATTAACATCGGAAGACAACTCCATCGCTTGGATTTTGCCCAGAAAAGAAATGACCACAAAGTTGCATAATCTCACCAATACCAAATCAAAAACCCCCACTCATATCACCTTTATCAGCACAATAATCCGGCGATTCGGCAACCTGGCGCATATGCTCGCGCCGTGTGTCGCCTTAGCGCGGCGCGGCGCCTCGCCGATCCGGGGCTTTTGTGAAGAAAGTGCAAGCCCTGAAAAAAGCCATCGCGGAAATGGAAGGGAACCAAGAATCTCTCCACAGGCGGCCTGAAACGGGGCGCGAGGGGGTCGGGGGGGTCTGCCCCCGTTGAGGTCTAGACGAGACCGTCCCCGCCGGATCAGTCTGATCGCTGATCCTTCGGATTCTCGTTTCCGCGCCGAACCGTTTCCACGCCGACCGCCTCGTCCTATGCGCTCGTCCCTGTGATCCGACTCCAACCGCCTCGCCCTCGTCATTTTTTCTAAGCGCTGTGCTTGTCGTCGCGCGCTAATTTCCCCTCCGGCCGTGTCTGTGATCCTCTTCTTCCTCCCCGTTCGTGTTTTCCCTCGCAGTGATCTGTGTGTCCAGAGTGTCAAGTGATACCCGAATTTTGGAGTTATAATCTCTTCGACTCTCATCATTCAACTCCGCCACCGTAAGTAAATAAAATGTAGGCTTCTGGATGTGAAAAAAAAGTGCGAAAACTTATAAAATGCTGAATTACCCACTATAGCAGTTACTTTAGCAATACCAGGATGTAAAACTAACTGATGTGGCGAGTAATGCAGAATTTTATAAGTTCTCGCACACTTTTTCTACATTCAGAATGTTAAATCAACTTCAAGTTTTTTTTCGGTGAAAGATTCGAAATTTCATGAGTATTTATGACATGAAATTTCATGAAGTATCGCGTATTTTCTCGGAAAAATGAAATATTAAGTGAAATTTCCCTAAATTTTCATTCTGCGTCTCTGATTTTATCTATTTAGCCATTTTAATCATGCAAAGATCCATATTAGTACCCTGTCATGACCCTCTGCGGAATCAGACGTATGTCTTGTGAGATCTCAAAATTCACCGTTTAAAGAGGTGCTTTACAAAAATTGTGGCACAAAGACGTCCCAAATTGTTAGACCCTATACAGAAGTTAAAGGGTGGTTTGAAATTTGCTGCTTGAAATGCGTGGTTTGAGGCTGATATGCTATACGCAAAATGAGGGCGTGTGGTTGATTTTCCTTACCCCGCGTTCAAGTCTCCAAACTTGATTATTTAGTCCGGTCTACCTATCATATTAAAACCATTTTTCTCTTAGACAGTAGTCACGGAACGCAAACTTCGCGCATTCTGGGCGTGAGGTTAACTTTTCTTACCTCGCGTTTAAGTCTCCGAATTTGATGATTTTTTTCTTGTCAGTTCGGCGCCGCGCCGCCTGTGCCGACGATCATTGATCAATTTGCCTTCAGTTACTTCTTTGGAGTCTTCCGCTTTCAATTTTCTCTCCTCCCAAGATCATCCAAACGTAAGGAAATTAATTTTCTTTGCAAAACTGAAGCAACACATTATTTTAAAGCCAGAAATAATTAAATTATTCTGAAGGGCCTTGAACTCAACGACGCACCAACAATGTCAATACGTCTTGAAGTGAAAATTTACTGTTGTAATCATGCGTTGTTTCTATTAAGAAGTTGCCACTTATTTGCTGTCCCTTAGAGACTCTTTTGGATGATTGCTTTGTCTTAAGCGAGACCTTAAATTGGTACATTGACTACTCTATGGGTGGTCCTTTAAAATGTATGGAGAATCTGTTGAATGCCTCCCCCCTCCCCCCCAAGCGCAATATTTAAAAGGAAAATCATGGTAAATTTGTTTGTTCTTCTCGAAGAAGAATATTTGAATCAGTATTCTAGTGCTTCATGAGAAGTGCTAAAGTAGAACTACTTGCCTGTCTTTAAGCGAGTACATGCATTAGAAAACAACATCATGTATTTTCACTAATAAATTTTCTTCGAATCAGCCCATCAAAAAGAAACGATATGAGCCACTTTAAAATTTAAATAAGATTTCATTACCATAGTATAGTGGACAAATTACCACGATATACGTTCACAGGAATTTTTTTTATTTTTATTATTATTCTTTTATTTGCCTCAAACTCAGAGAAATTATAACAGTTATCCTTCAAATTCCTTTGCTGAATTGTATGCAGGTGTAGCAATACAAAATGAGTACAAACTTTTTTTCGTATCTTTTTATCTCCTAAAAACAGATGCAAAACGGAGTGCCGACGCGAAGGTATCTTCGTTACCAGGTTCAGATGCCGTGCATTTGTTTTTCGACCGCTTTGATACCAGTATCCGTGCTTTGTGGATGTCCGGGTTGCATAGAAAATAATTGAAGGCGTTTTGTTTTCCCTTGCCAAGTTGCCTTCTTTAGAAATTTGATAAGGATAAGGTGCGTCGTCAAATGCTATCGCTGATAGGATGTTACCGCAATGATTAAGACATGTAAAAGGCAATAAAAAAGCATCAAATGTCCACCTTTAATGCCACTTGATTTTGGGATCATGTGTGGTCATATTGATCATTAACTCGGAAATAATGGACCACTAGACAAGGTACGAATTTCAGCATTCTGATACATGTATCTTAACTAAAACTTCACGTAGAATACGACGCGGACAACAAAAATTACCGAAATCAACTCCTTTCAAAGATATTTAATGATTCTTGATGCGTAAATTCAAACCACCCGCTCATGAAAACTCAATGCTCTGTGTGACTCACATCGTGCGCTAAACGTTATCACGACAGTCTCCGCGATAAAAAAAATCTGGCAACCTCAATCTTGACGCTTTGGCTCAGCTACAGCAAATCACTTATAGTTTGAAAAACACACGGTGGGAAATGAAAATTACTCGATTGAGAAGCTTGCTGAAACCGTTGTAGTGCGCGATTTGACTCACGTAGAGCTTTGAGTTTCTTGTGAGCGGGCAGTTCAAATTCCTCGTAACCAATGTGAAATAAAAATTATAATATCTTCGTTTGGAGTTTGTTTCATTAGTTTTCGTTGCACGAATCGTGCTCTAAGTGAAATTCTGGTTATGAAACATGTATCAGAATGCTTAAATTCGTACCTTGTCTAGTGGTCCATTGTCAACGATGTCATAACACGAATTGAATAAATTGCTTTAAAAACTGCTCAACTCTATTTCTACGTTTCAAGTTTCCTTTTTATATCTCAATGTTACTAAAGAAAATAAGTCACTTTGATCGGGACGTCCTATAGTTTCATATTTTATTGCAATGAAAAAGTGTAAAATCATCAACTGAATATATTCGTCGGGTCTCTTTTATAAAATAAAATAAATGGGCAAAAACTTAAGCCTTGCACGATTATTACTTTTTGAAAACTATCTTTTCAATTATAGAATTATCATTAGGGATTTTGTTAAAGGTGTCAAGTTCCTCGAGTGATGTCACTTAATCTCAAAATTGTCTTTTCTTGAATCTTTCATGACAGTTCCATCACAAAAGTTTGACTCAGCCAATTCGAGAGCCAACGAGCAACTGGATATGCGGAATCCATTTACGAAAATTGGCACAAAATCGCCACCTAGACTAACTTAACTCAATGGACCATTTTCGTTTATTTTCATTTTCCATCAAGCGGCCCCGAGAATTGCCAACAGACCGGTCTATCGCGGTAACTCGGTGGACCGGTCACGCAGCGCATGAAGTATCCTGCAGACTTGTAAGGCGCTATATTAGGCGTCGCGCGCACTGTGCGGTACGCGCAATGCATGAAGTATCCTGCGGTCTTGTAAGGCGCTACGATGCGTTCCGTGCTGTGCGCGCCAGCCCTTTGCCGGCCGCACTGAGTGTATATTTTGTTCGAAATATTGTCATTTAAAATGATAAAACATGACACAAAATCTAACTAATTTTCTTCCCTTCCAATACATATTCTTCTAAATAATTTTCAATAGAAGCATGCAAGTGAAACGACTTCAAAGTTTAGGTTCCCTTGTTACTTAGCGCAATGTCGTGATCATTTGGACTACATTTTGCGACTCGGAAATACAATTTCTGGCTCACCTGTAAAAACACTTGTGTGCATAAAGAAGCCAGAAATGTTGGTTCCTAATTCCAAATTGAAGTTCATTTGATCAATGAACTCTTTCGGAGCGTTGCGTGTGGATTCGACGAAGCGGAGGGTATGAATTTCATCGACATGAATCGATTGGAAAGTAATAACGTGAATCGATCGACACCGATTCGATCAAAAAATTATTGAAAAACGGTGTCGATTCGATCGAAAAATAAAAACGTGAACCGATCCACATTTTAGTTTTAATTTTATGAAGAAAATTGTAATTCTTTGTCTTTGAAGTTCCGTTAAAAGATAGAAACGGTTGCACGATCTTAGAAACACCAAACGGCGCTCGCAAGGCTTTGAATTTCCTATCCTCAAATGCCAGAGAAATCGAGCAATTACATTAAACGCATTTCATTATCTTGAAAAAACATTAGCGTAACTGCAGGTTTGAGCACCCGGAGCATCGCGCAACATGCGAAGCAGGGTGTAGAGAGGCTAATGATAGCACAACTTAAATCGATCTGATACGCTCGGAAGCAATATTCATGCCATACTCTTCGTTCTCGCCAACATTTGACGGACAAGAGCAGTCTTGGTTCCCATCCCATCCGTTCCCTGGGGCTGTCATTTTTGCGACTTTGCATGGGCACGGACATTGTCTCCGTAAGAGGAAGTATGACGGAACATGACCTGACCGTCCGGCGCGGCTCGCCACTTGGATGACGAAACTTGAACCGTGGATATCTCTTCAAAAAGAACACGCACACTTTCTTCGGTGCGATATAGCTGGACTGATTGTGAGCTCTCATCCGTTCTTATCAGGTTTTGAAGTTGTTTTACCTTAATATCAAAAGCTCGCGGATCGTATATTTACTCGAACCAACACTTGACAAGTGGTTGTGGATAAGAAACACGTGCTATCGCGAGGCTGAACAAAACAAACAAGGTGGCGTGCGGGTGCGAAAGTAACCTTTCTCTGCCAGAGAAAATTTTTCGAGTAGTGGTAAAAATTATTTCCATCGCAATAGTGATGCAAAAATTATGTTTTTTTTATGTTGGTTAAGCCGAAGGAGAAATCAACCTCCCAATTATTTTAATACGTCAAAGCGTAAATTTACTTGTTCTCCCATACGAAGGGGACGAAAGTAAATCAATCTGAGTTAGTGTGCGCTAATGTATCTCAATACAGCCTCCTTAATAAAGGAACTTTGGAACACTATACGCAAACTGAGGGCGCGTGCTTGATTTTCCTTACCCCGCATTCAAGTCTCCAAACTTTATCATTTAGTCCGGTTAACAAAAAAATTCCAAAAAAACTATCATTCTAGAATGGGACTTTTTTTAGCTTTCAAGTCATGCAAGGAAATAGGAGAGATTTATACATTTAAAGTCATGTCACCCTAGCATAAAACAAAAGTTATCCTTGATAGATTGCTTTTTTTAGATTGAAAAAATTAAAATAAAAAAAATAAATAGGTAAGGATATGAATGAAACAGGTTAAAAAAACTGTACATCTTGCCTGGAAAATTGTTCTGTTGCTGCAAAAAGAGTGAACAATT